ATTGCAGATATAATACAGATACAATCTACACACAGATTCATTCTGACACTCATTCTCTTCCAGATACAGTTCATATACAATTTAAATACAGATTCATTCTGACACTCATTCCAGATTCTATTGCAGATACAGTATAAATACAATCTAAATACAGATTCATTTTGATACTCATTCAAATGCATCTTCCTAGATACAGTTCAGATACAATCTAAATATAGATTCATTCTGACACTCATTCTAGATTCTCATGTGGATACAGTACATATGCAATCTAAATACAAATTCATTCTGACACTCATTCCAGATTCTCTTCCCGATACAGTTCAAATACATATATTGTTCTAATACTCATTCAATACATTCTCAGATACAATCAAGGCTTGGATTTATTCTGACATTCCCCAGCCAAGTTTGGACTTCCAAAACTGAAAAGAAACCTCGCAAAAAGTTCTTCCCAAAAGAATTCATTTCCACAATAAGGCCTTCAGAATAATTTCCTCAACAGGGTTTATTTCCCCAACAGACTACAATTTCCCCAACTTGATTCTATTCCTCAGACTACTACAAATCACTGAAAAAATTCCTCTTCCCCAATAGAATTGCCACTGTCCCCAGAAAGTTGCTGCAAAGCCTGGAATCCGACCAGATACCAGTTAACTTTATCCGACAAGATGGAAGTTTAATCATCTCTTTTATCCCTAATCAGGGTATATAAGAATTAAATTCCCCAGTAGAGCAATAGAAAACCAAGCTTCCTGAATTCTACTCCCCAAATAGAAATCAACATCCCTGCAGAGTTTCCTCAAACAACAAACAGGAATCCCCAGTGGAAGTATTCTAGACAAAGTTGAAGATACACATACTCTTCATCCACAACAATAGTCAAGGATTCATTTTTCCTAGACAAACATTTTACATTCATACATCGTAGCATATGCATACAAAATGCATATAGCACAATCTCATTTATTTTGAGAACATCATTACGCAATGCATTTCATACATCATGATATCGCATACACCTAACCCTTTTCCTTTTCACTAAAATCAATCAACAGACAAAAGACCTCTTCTGATTTAGATTTATTTCTTCCTGTTAAAGACAGGCGGACAAAAGACCTCTTTTGGTTTAGATTTATTTCTTCCATTTAAAGACAAGCGGACAAAAGACCTCTTCTGGTTTAGATTTATTTCTTCCAGTTAAAGACAGGTGGACAAAAGACCTTTTCTAGCTTAGATTTATTTCTTCCAGTTAAAGACAGGCGAACGAAAGACCTCTTCTGGTTAGATTTACTTCTTCCAGTTAAAGACAGACGAACGAAAGACCTCTCGGGGCTCAGATTAACTTCTGATACTGCTTTCAGACGTAGGCATTTGGTGGCTCAGATTAAATCGACCAAAGATTTACTCTGATACATCTCTCAGTAGACACTTTTTCTGGTTCAGTTAAATCGCTTCTAAGATTTATGTTGATTCGTTATCTAGTTAAAGTTTATTCAAGACCTCTGCTGGTTCAGTTTAAATCGACCAATGATTTATCCTGATTCTGTTTTGGTAGACACCTTCTCTAGTTTAGTTAAATCACTCCTAAGATTTATACTGATTCGTTATCCAGTTAAAGACAATTTAAAGACCTTTACTGGTTCAGTTTAAATCGACCAATGATTTATCATGATTTCGTTCTGGTAGACACTTTCTCTGCTTCAGTTAAATCGCTCCTAAGATTTATGCTGAGTCGTTATCCAGTTAAAGACAATTTCAAGACCTCTACTGGTTCAGTTTAAATCGACCAATGATTTATCCTGATTCCGTTCCAGTAGACACTTTTTCTGGTTCAGTTAAATCGCTCCTAAGATCTATGCTGATTCGTTATCCAATTAAAGACAATTACAAGACCTTTGCTGGTTCAGTTTAAATCGACCAATAATTTATCCTGATTCCGTTCCAGTAGACACTTTTGTGGTTCAGTTAAATCGCTCCTAAGATTTATGTTGATTCGTTATCCAGTTAAAGTTTATTCAATACCTCTGTTGGTTCGTTTTAAATCGACCAATAATTTATCCTGATTATGTTTCGGTAGACCCTTTCTCTGATTCAGCTAAATCGCTCCTAAGATTTATGCTGATTCATTATCCAGTTAAAGACAATTTCAAGACCTCTGCTGGTTCACTTTAAATCAACCAATGATTTATCCTGATTCCGTTCCAGTAGACACTTTTCTGGTTTAGTTAAATCGCTCCTAAGATTTATGCTCATTCGTTATCCAGTTAAAGTTTATTCAAGACCTCTGTTGGTTCAATTTAAATCGACCAATGATTTATCCCGATTCCGTTTCGGTAGACCCTTTCTCTAGTTCAGTTAAATCACTCCTAAGATTTATACTGATTCGTTATCCAGTTAAAAACCATTTCAAGACCTCTACTGGTTCAGTTTAAATTGACCAATAATTTATCCTGATTCCGTTCCGGTAGACGCTTCCCTGGTTCAGTCAAATCGACTCTAAGATTTTTCTGATTCTTACCCAGTCAAAGACAAATACAGACATCTCCTGTTTCAGTGTAAGTCGACCAGAGATTTATTCTGGTATTTCTTCTAATCTCTATCAACAAATACTTTAGATGGCATCTATAAGCCCATATCCAATAACCCTTCATTACTTGTTTGAAGTAGTAGTCATCACAGATTTCTTCATTACATGTTGAAGTAGTAGCCATCACAGACTCCTTTATTACTCGTTGAAGTAGTAGTCGTCACAGATTTCTTCATTACCTGTTGAAGTAGTAGTCGTCACAGATACCTTCATTACATGTTGAAGTAGTAGTCGTCACAAATTTATTCATTACCTGTTGAAGTAGTAGTCGTCACAGATTCCTTCATTACCTGTTGAAGTAGTAGTCGCATAAAAATCAAGTCAAACATTAAAATTACCAACAGTCACTCCTGGATGGCATTTATAAACTCATCTCCGATGACTCCCCATCACTCCTGGTATTGTGGTTTCACAGCCAAAATACATTATAGACTTATTAAAAGAAGTAGGAATAAGTGGATGTCGTCCTATAGATACTTCTATGGATCCTAATGTTAAACTTTGGGGAGAAATTAATGTTCCTATTAATATTGAAAGGTGTCAGAGATTGGTTGAAAAGTTGATTTATTTGTCACACATCCAACCTGATATTGCTTTCTCAACTAATGTAGTAAGTCAGTTTATGCATTCTCCTTTTGAGGAATATCTTGAGGCAGTTTATAGGATACTGAGATATTTGAAGGGAAATTCCAAAAAAAAAATATTTATTTTATAATAAGACTATTGAAATAAATGTGTGTATCTTCACTGATTCTGATTGGGCAGGTTCGTTCATAGATAGAAGATAAAACTCTGGACATTGTACCTATGTTTCGAGTTTAGAGTTATGTCTCAAGGTATTTGTGAAGGATTTTGGATCCTTAGAGTCCTAGAAGAACTTAAGATGAAAATTATGCTTCTATTAAAATTATACGCTGACAGTAAAGCTGATATTAGCATAGCTCATAACCCAGTTCAACATGATATAAGCAAATATATTGAGATTGATCGATATTTCATAAAGGAGTTAGATGTTAGAATCATATGTGTACCTTTTGTAACTTCAAATCAGCAAACTGTTGATATCCTAACCAAAATCTTGACAAGACCTACCTTTTAGCATTTGATCGACAATTTGGACATGATATATATATCAATCTTTATTTCTCTATTTTATTGTTTTTTAGACAATTCAATTACGCCTATTTATTTTTTATTAGGGGTGTTCGCGGTGCGATTTAGGTAATTTTCACACTAAAAGTCATATGAACTACAAGAGAAAAAATGTACAATTTAGTTTGGTTCAGTTAATTTTTAGAAATAAAATCAAGTCAAACCAATACGGTATAGGTTGACTCAGTGTTTACACAATTTTTGTTTATTCATACACACATATAAAGGACAATAAAATTTTATGTTTAAAGTCATTATTAATTATCATAAAATAAATTTATGATTGTCAAAATAAATTTATAATTTAATACATTTTATCTTACAATTTTATCTTATGTCTAAACTAAAGGACAGCATACATTAAATTACATTCTTAAATAAATATGTAATATTATATTTTATAATGATAAGCAATAGCATATGTAACTATACTAGCTTGATAACACTATAATTTTTTTTATTATCAATATTTTATATATAAAGAGAGATACAAAAATAATATAAATCAATTTTTTTAATTTTAACTTTATTAACGTCAACAAATTAAAAATGAAAATAAAAATATAAAAATAATAGTATTTATAAATAAATAATACACGTTAAATAAATATATATGTTTGTAAGGTTTTGAAACATAATATAATTTGATTCAGTTTATAAAATACAAATCGCAAATCAAATTGAACCGCGTAATTTTCTTTAAAAATGATTCAAACACATCTAAATCAAATGCGACTTTTGATTTGATTTGATTTAATTAGATAAGCAGTTTTCTATTTAGCCGGTTGAACACCCCTATTTTTCATTAAGGAGAGAATTAATTGTAATCAATTGTATTCTCTCTTTTGAGAGAAATTGTACTCTCTCTTTAAAAACCAACTTTAGGCTGAGGGATAAAGTAGAACACCATTTTACCTATCGTCTTCAATGCAATGGCTTTTATAACACAATAGACAGACAAAATCTTATCTTTTAAAGGAAAACTTTCCTTTTAGAGAAGCACTTAAAAATTATCAAGAAAAAGCAAATCGGATCGATAACTCACCTGTCAAAGCAAATATGTTAAACATAATCACTACAGATTAATGTCCATCTCAATTATCTGACAACAAAATTGACAACCTTTTTCTTCCATCCATTTTATCTATATAACTATATTTGACAACATCCTACAGTCATGTTGTTTAATCCAGTTAAGTAGCATCCAAACCTCGCCAGAATGCAGAATTTAGGAAGCCCGAAAATCAAGGAAAAGACGTCATTTCCATATTAGCATCTTACGACTACCGATAAGTGGTTTCTCGCTTGAGATCCAGTCCTTGTTTAGAAGACTTGGTTTAGCAGCTAACATTTCATCATGAAATGAAGATACTATTTGGTAGATTGATGTCTTGAGAACATCAGCAATAGCATGAGCTTTTGAATTTGCTGGCCCATTTTTCCTTTTACTAGAAGCAGCTGTAATATCTAATCTTCCTCTATTAGCTGTCACCCATTTGATACCCGAAGATCCCAATAATTGATTGGTGATTGCATGTTTGTTCTCTCCCGTGAAATTCTCAACAGCAAGAAGGCATGAGTCAAAAGCAAGAAGGCATGATAACAGTGTCGAAACCACAGCAGCATTACTCCCGGAAAGCTGAGCAACCCCAAACTTATCTTCTATGTGACAACAGGCAGTCAGTGAGGCAACAATTCTTGAGCACCAAGCATATAGCTGCATGCAAAAAAATACAAAAGTTTATTATTCTAGTTTGGATAAACAACTTAATTAAACACTAATAGAATAAATATTTATCGTTCAAGTATTTATGTATGAGCTATTTTTATAACAAGATAAAATGAAGTTAAACTTTTTCATATAACTTATAAGTTGTTTTCATTAAGCTATCCTAAAAAACTTAAGTAAATAAACTGAAAAAAGCTTATTGACATGTCATAAGCTGATTCCACAAACTCTTCCAAACAGTACGCAAGTGCTTATTATTCTAGAAGATAAGTTTGAATAAGCTAATTCAAACAGACCCAAATTCATAACTCTAGAATGTGATGCTTTAAAACTGTGCCACTACTACAAGGTCTCTCATCAAAGGCAATGAACAAACAATTTTCTGTCTCCATTGGTTACTTAAATTGCAATTTAAAGGGTGGCAGTGGAAATTCATACTTATGATCCAAATGCATATTCATGCAGCCTAAAAAAATCTTGGATACTTTCATGCAAAAGTGAGCTATACAGTAAATTTCAGTATTAAAATCGCATTGGACTCAAGCTATAAATCCTAACTTTAAGTAGAATCAATTATGGAGACAAAATCAATTCTACTTTCAAGGAACCAAACATGTCAAAATCAATTCTACACCTCAATAATCACTTTTGGCTCTTCTAAAAGTGGAATCAACCATATGAAAAATTTCAAAGCTCGGTGAGAAGTGAGGACATGAGATTTCTGCTTTCACTTCATTCAATGTTCACTGTTTCCAAAGCAGTAATGTTGGGTTAAAACAAAAACAGGTTACGGTTTCAAAGTATCAAATGATTCTGTGTTTCAACTTTTAATACAAGAACATCACAAAGTATACATTTCCATGGGTGCCATTGTACACGAATTAGAATTTTGTATGTTGAGTCTTCAAAGATTCTGATTTCTATGTGGATTCTGTATCTTTTTTAAAACGTAGCACATTTCTCTATATTTACCCAGAACATTTTGGTTCCATATTATATAAAAACTGAAGAACAAACAGTAAGGTGTCAAAGCTTTCCGGTTATACAGAAAAAAGAAAAGCCTTGTTAGCAGAAAATAAACAACTTACAAATAACAGAGTAATACATGTACCAGGAAGTCATGCAATGCAGTAGAAGTTCTTCTACATGCTCCAGATATGGTGGGGAGGATAACTGATATGATAGTTGGGTAGATTTGTTGGTAGAATTACCCATGCTCTCACCAAATAAGGAAACAAGATACATTGCAATAAATTAGCACTCAAGCTCGGGAAATAAAGGCACATAAGCTGCAGCAGGTGAAAATTGAGGATCATCGTACTCAGATCCTACACCTAGAGAACACTCGGTAGCAAATGATAATTCAAACCATGAATAATCCAATTAGGAGGCACCAGAAAACCATTCATCACACTGTCAATCAATCTCAGGGAAGGGTACCAACCAATGCACACCAGCAGCAAATACAAGCTGCACCGACTCAACGTCCAACAGTATCTAGGACCTTACCAACATGTCCTTATTGCCTTCATCTCACATCAAAATGCAGCATAACCACCATAGTTCTAGCATAGAACTATACAGAAGAATTCAGATTTTTTATCACAAGTGAAATTCTTACCATCTACAAACCCATAAACTATAATACCTCCCTCTCAAACCTAGCTAGCTCTTTCAATAACATTATAAGTTATAACTAAGTCTATAACAGTATGAGCCTTCTTCAGAAGAAACACTCAAAAGCACAAAACAGAAGCTTTCGAAGCACAAAATTTCAAAGTAAGAACGAAAATTCCAGTCTAATCCCATAAATATCACCAAGAACAAGCAAGTCGAAGGGAAAAGCAAGTAAACAACCTACAATACAATGAACATAGATGAATACCTGAGTGGACGTGAGAAGATGGAGAAGACGGGAGGCACGACGCTAGGGTTCGAGAGAGATGCTTGACTTATGACGAAATTGTGCTCTGACGAGTTTACGACAACAGAACACCAGCGAAGATTAGTCTCAGTTCTATTCACTGCTAATGCAAACTATCAGTTTAGGGATTTCTCAAGGTTCAGTTTTAGTTTCAATTCGGTTTATTTGCAATTTGGTTCGGTTCGAGAACCGCTTGTGCAACACAGGCTCGGTTTATTAACCAAACATAATGGTTCGGTTATTATAACTTCATTTCAATTCGGTTCGTAGTTTTTTTAAACACCCCTATTAAGGTGAGGGTGCAGGGGGTCGGGGAAGATGAAGGGTATATTGGCAATACTCAACTAATGTACCACTATTTCAGTTGTGCATGCTATCCACTGTGTTATTGTTATAGATTGCTTCTAGTGGATCAACAGTCATGGATGGATGTGTTTCCATAACAACAACCTACACCACTTATGTGGTGTTATAGGTCACAAACTCTTCTATTTGTTGCCTAAAAATAATAGTAATGAAGTTCGAATATTTTACATAAAATAGTGTGTTGTTTTGTTCACACTAGTAGTACATTAGTGTGTGTCCAACAAATCTAAATCTAAAGGAGAAAAAGAAATTTAACTTCCTATAGTCAAAAAGATGATGCCTTGAAACCTAAAAGAGCTAATCTTTGATGGACACTTTCTCAAATCATACCTATCCACCTTTTAAAAATCAGGGCTGCTTCCCTTTTGTTTAGTTGTGATTCTGTCTGAAATTTAGGAGCCTTGCCTTTATAAAGTGTTCTGTGATATTTCAAGAATAGCATTCTGTATTTGTATATGTCGACAAACATTTTTCCTTTTTCCATCATTGCCACAACTTCATTGGCACGAATGAAAAATCCACCCCTCACAAATGTATACAACACAGAATCCAGAAGTTCCTGATCAAACTTAATGGAGGATGAAGAAGCAAGCCCTTTCATCTCACCCCACAGCTCGGTTACCTCCAGATATTTCCCCCCAACAGCAGCATACCCAGTGACCATAGAATGGAAAGTTTGTGCATTAGGTGAATGACCTAAGCTTCTCATCTTCTTTAGAGCCTTTTCTGCATCTTGCATTAGTCTCTTCTTACAAAAAAAGTGGATTACATTATTCCAGTCATGAACTCCACAATCCACTTTATGTCCGTCCTTGATTTCCTGCACCAGCTTTGTCATCAGTGCAGCTTCGTCTGTCTCAGTAACACTTTTAGCCAGCATGCCTGAGCATTGTAGACTAACTTTTGGAATTCTAGCTTCTTTCATTTCTTTAAAAAGTTGGAGTGCTCCCTGTGTGTCTTCCTCGAGCACCCTGGATTGGATCATTGCCTCATAAGAGCTCGAGTCAAGCTGTATACCAGCCTTCCTAGCATCTCTCAATAGTGACGTGACATCTGCAGTCCTATTTGCTACACAATATGCTTTCAAAAGAGAAGCATATACAGATGAACCGGTTCTAACTCCAGCAAGACGCATCTCATCAAGGAGATCATGCGCTTGGTCCAACCATCCAAGTGATATGCACGAATTAATAACATGAACCAAGGCTGAATTGTCATTGGAAAATGGGGAGTCTTCTCTTTCTGCCTTGAGAAGAAACACTGCCAAGTCCTTGGTCTTACCAGATTCTAAAAAAGCTTTAACTAATTTCACATAAATTGTTTCAGTTGGTTGCAGTATACCATGTACAGTTGTAATCAAATCGACCTGCATCTGCAATTTAGCAGATAAAGAGCCGAGAACAGCTTTGGACTCCGCTTCAAGTTTTAAGAAGTTTCGATCTTTTGAGAACTCCTCATAAGATAAGATAACATTTCTTATCAGCTGTTCATATTTGACAATCTCCAAATCTTCACTGTTGCTCAAACTATGCAGCCTAGGAGAATAGTTGTGATCAATTTTAGCTGCATCAACCAAGAATTTGGCAGATGCAAGAGAATTTCTAGCTTCCTTTGCTTTTCTAAGCATTTCCAAAACCATGTTGGATGCGGAATCAAGATCTCCAAATTTCAAATGGCATGTAAGCAAACAATTATAGAACTGTCGGAACTGTATATCAGTTAAGTTGGAAGCTTCCTCTATGTGCCTCTGCAGCTTCATAAGCTCATCTCTCCGCCCATTTCTTTCATATACACGAGCCATTGTTATAAGTAAGTCTGCGTCAGCTTTGACACCAATCCGGAACATCATATCAAGAAGCTGCTCTGCCTTCCTAGATTTCTCAAACACAAGACACCCTGCCAACGCAATATTAAAGGCATTGGTGTTTGGTTTCATGGCAATCAAAGGTGCGTTGTTCTTTTTACGAGGATCCACTCTGTTATTTTGGAATAAATAACCTATTTCAAGAATTAACTCAGCGGCAAGGAAACTTCCCTCTGCTGTTTGTGACATGTGAGCCAAAACTGCAGACCAAGCAGTAACAGGAGGAAAATGGTCCATATCAATCATCTTTCTTAAAACGGTCGATGCCATAACTGGTAGTCTGACTTTCGCAAGGCCAAAGCTAAGGTATATAAGCACCTCCTTCTCTAACAAGTCTTGTCTACCAACTTCACTGGCACGATGTACCAATTCATAAGCTTTTTCTAGCCATTCAATATCAAGGGTTTCCACATAACTAGTTATAACCATGTTGAAGAGAGATTTTCTAGGAAATCCCTCCATGTGTTTATGCTGCTCAAGTAATTTCCAAGAATAATGTAATTGGTTGGCACTGATGGCGTTCTGTATTTCTATAGTAACTTTGGCAGGGTCTTGAGCCTGCACCAGGATTCGTTGAGCCATAGTAGAGATATATAGTGTTTGAAGGAAGAATTTATTCTCAAATCCAAGTAGAAGTGCCTTTGAACTTGACTTGGCTAAACAAGGGCCAACAAACTTCACAATAGACTGCATACTTCTGTTATTAGAAACTTGGGTTGTGCCATAATTGCAATTAGCAATCATAAAACATAAAACAGAGGGGAGACTTGATCCTGTTATCAGCTTTCGTATCACAAGCATCTTGAATTATCAGCAACTAGCAAAGTAAACATGAGAATGAAGTCAAGCAATTTGCAAAAACATTAATTTGACAAAATAATCATGGTAAGAAAAATGCTAATGTACTTGTAAATCATTCTAGCTACGTACAATAAATGAATGACCAAACATACAAGGCATAACCCAGCAAGATACACTAGGTGACAAAAACTTTTTTCTGTCTTTCTTTCATGTGTTTTAATTTAGGCATTATATCAAGCAGTTTACGGTCAATAACTGTGAGGCTAAAAAATGAAGAATGTAGTAGCCATTATGCATAGAATAAAAATTGAAGTTGAGTTACCTTGATATCGAGAACAAGTTCAATAACAGGTAAGGATGGATGTCGCCGGTGGGTGAAGACCAATGCGGCGAGCTTATGCGGCTGAGTTGCAAAGATGTTTGAGTTTTCACTTGAAGCAGCGTTTTCTAGATTCTGACATCAATTGATTGTAAAACAAAACAATTTGATTCATCAATTTTGCCCCTTATTACAACAACATGGACGTTGGCAGTTTTGTATATTTGTTTACCGCCGCCTGAGTTTCAGGTTACAGTGGTCACTGAAAGATTCATTTTCTTATAATTAACATTAAAATGTTTCTAATACAATATTCGTTTTCTAATTTAATTTTTTTATTTGGATATTTACATAAAAAGTTATTATATAAATTCAAAATCAATTTTAATGTACAATATTCAAACAAAATAAATAAATAAATATCAGTTTTATTTCGAAGAACACTCTAGTTGGATATCAATTATAGTTTCATTCAATGCAATAATAGTATTTAATAGTTATGTCAAATTTTAATATTATTTTATCTTACAATAAATTAAAATTGTATCTATATCCAACTAAAACTCATAAGTACTAAAAAAAAAATGAATCTTGTTATAGGTCATTTGATAGTTCTACATGGACATGAGACGTGGAAGATGAGTTTGAACCCATAACATTATATTTATTGTAACGGTAGAATTGTTGAGATTAAATTATTAGATTGATTTGACTTGTTCTGGCAAGGTGTTGAACCCGTGTCCTCCATATTATAATGTACAAGCCTTACCAACTGAGTTGTGTTGTCTATCTGTTATTTATATGGTTTAATTGAAATATAAAGGGGAAAATGATAACTGGATTGGGCCAGCAGCCCAATGGGCTGACCCGGCTGGAAATAAGGAAAGGGAAGGGTTTGAAACCCTAGCAACCTGATTAGACGCGCCGTATTGTTGTTACTGGGAGAGGGGAAAGATTGAAAATCTAATTGTTCCAACACAAACAATCATCGTTCTTTTTTTCAGAAATCAACAGAAATTCTAATCTCCTCTCTTTCAAATCCTCCCTTCCTCTCTTCAAACTCTCTCGATCCTGCTTCTCACTCTCGGCTCTATCTCTCACGCTATTCTTTATGTTCACAATGGATTTTTCATTACGAAGAAAAGCAACAACAAATTGTGAAATCCCAAAAATCGCTTATGCCAACAATCAACGGTAACACAAACGAGAATCGTGAAGAATTTACTTGAACGAAGGTTTCTTCTAGTTGATGATGTCTTGCGTTTCGAAGCTCCGACGAGGCTTTGTTCAGGTATGCTCCAATTTTCTTCTCTTCTCCTCTGTTACGCGTGTGATATCAAAATTGGTGTTGTAATGTTAATTTGATGAAGGTCTGTGTCAGGTTGCGGTGAAGGTTTGGTGAAGAGGATGAAAGGATGCAGTTTTAATTCAGAGATGTGGTTGGGATTTCTGGTAAGCTTGATCTGTGCTTGTACATAGTGTAAAGGAAATCCGACTCCAATAGTCTGAATTCTTTGGATATTTGAAATACGGTTCTGGGAATTTTGGTGATGATCTCTGTTATGATTATGGTACATAATTCTTCATAGTTTTTCTGTTTGGACAAATGATGATGCTGATATCTTCTGTGTTTTGTTGTTCTTGTGTTCCTATCTTTTCTGATTTTTGCTGTTTGTTTTCTTTCTATTGCCTTGGCCCCTGGTTTTCTTATGCTGGCTTGGTTCTTCTTTTTATCGGCTATCTGTTGGTTTTCTATGCTGGTTTTTGGCCTGTCAAAAAAAATCTTTTCTGTTGTTATTGTGAACTCTGTTATATAGCGCTAGATATTGAAATTAGGAGGGAGTTTTGAATCCATCTTTGTTCACTAAGTGCACTATTTTTTTTCTTTTCTTGCACAAGTTTTGGTATCATGCATTTTGGGTGAAAGATTGTTGCAGCAACATAACAGGTCACAGGTTTTTAGCCTATTTGTGCAGCAAGGTTGGACTAATGCAGGGCTTTGGATAGCAGACTGGTTTTGTGGACTGCTTTGCCATTTTATTACAGATTTTGACTTGGCCTGTTTGTGTGCAATTTTGGTTGTATATAGCA